AGGGTGTGGCACTGTTTGCAAGGTCAAGTGCAAGTGGATGAATTACTCAGGCTTTGGTGTTGCTCGCTTTCTCCCCGCTTTGCCATACCCCCCAAACATTTTTATACTAGTGGGATTTATTTAAAATGGAAATTGAAGAGAAGATGCTTCAAAGAAGAGGAAGAAGGGGGCCTTAGTGGGGTTGCGGAGAAGGAGTGGATCCCTGCCTTGCCGTTTTGATGGACAGGATAGTGGAGGTGCTGGCGGATAACGTCAGTTTAGGGACCAGATGGAGGTGTCAGTTCCTCATTCGATCCCTCTTGCCCTGTCACTGCCCAGCTGTCCCCGCTGGGCTGTACCCAGGGGATGGCGCTGTTTATTACAATAAGAAAAGCCACCTGGTGGGTTGAACAAATCACTCTCCTATGAAAAGCAGGGCTCACCAATTACTATGCCGATTTATCAATTAGCAAAAGAAAGGGCTTCGCAGTTAAAGGAAGATGGTTAACATCCCTCTGGTTCTAAGCTGTCGTGATTAAGTTGAAGTCTCCTGATGGCCTGATTTTGTTTTTGTCTGGGGACAAAGCAGAAGAGTTAACCACATGGGGACAATATGCTGGAGAAAAGGTAGTCGCTGGCATCACAAATGGATTTGATTAGGGAAAGATGAAACAGACCGCCTCCGAGGCCAAGTTGTGAGTTTCTGAATAATCCTATGCCCCTGTGTTCTCCCTCCCAGCTCTGACCTTGCTTTTAACTTGGAAGGCTATATTTTTGTATTCCTGAATGATATCTTCACAGCAGCGAACGGAGTTTATACCAAGCAGAAAATGGACCCAAAGGTACCAGATCTTCGCTTTTGGGCTTTGTCGTCTGGCCCCTGAAATTACATGAAAAGAATAGAATGAGCTTGTAAAGCTGGCATCTGATATATGTTACATGTTATGATCTACAAGTCACTAATTTCTTTTCAATGATCTTGTCTGTATAGGTTCTTGTTACTCCTCGTCTTGCAAAAGTTTTAGGTGAAAATTAGACAGGAAAGGAAAGAGGGCACTTTTTAAGGTGCAAAATCAGAATAATATCTAGAAGGGGGATTATTTTGAAAGGCAAATTAAAATTGGAATTTTTTTTTAACCATCATCATTAGTGACCAACATTGAAATTAAGGGTATTCTGAAAGTAACTGTAGTTTGAGAGTCTGGAGATGTGGGTGACTGATACGGGTTTTGTTATGCTGACTGGGTATTGTGACCTGGAACCTTCACTGCTCCAAACTCCGTTTCCTGATCTGTGGAATGAATGAGAGGATGGGAATGGGTAACTTGTCAGGTCCCGTCCTAGTCATGAGGGGGGAGTGGGTAGACCAGCTTTCCTTCTGTGTGGCTGCCTCCATGTCGGGGCTCCCAGCCCACACCCCCCTCCCCAGCTGTTCCGGAAGCTCTAGAGGATGAGCCAGGCATATGTTTCTTTGTTCCAGGTTCTTTGTATTGAGCGAGGATGTTGGCTCTGACGGACAGGCTTATTTCTATGAGCTGTTTTTCATCTGCCCTGTTTTTGTTTTGTTTTGTTTTCTGTGCTGCCATTTGTTTTTTAATGATGGGCTATTTTACAAAACTGGGTTTGCTGCCTTTTGAGACTCACAATATGTCATCCTTTATGGAAAATGGGGGTGTAGACTCTTTTAATGAAAAGTAAATTTATGCAAGATTGAAAAACAGGATACCTGGTGTTTCAACCCTGCTGTTCCCTTAAAAGAAAGAGCAGATGTTTTTAAGGAGCTCTTTTTATATGAACATTTTTAATGTTATTTATTTTGTACCAGATTTCCCATTTTGAATAGCATGCTATTCAATGTTAGAGATGGGTGGAACCTCAGAGTCCATCAGCGTCCATCCATCTCCATCCATTTTAGTCTGTTTTTTTTTGATAAAACAAATGTTTTATACTTGAAATGCAGCATTTTACATCAGAAACGTGCTGAAAATATTCCAGTACAGAGCTGTTCAGGATGTATATATTTAAACAATTTTTTTTCTAATTTTATTTTGGGGGGAGGCAATTAGGTTTTTATTTCTCTATTTTAATGGAGGTACTGAGGATTGAACCTAGGACCTTGTATATGCTAGGCACGCACTCCACCCTTGAGCTGTACCCTCCCCCCAGAATATTTATTCTGACTGCCTGAGCACGTGGTTGTGTCAATGGCTTCAGGGGAAAACACTAAGTAAGTGGCCCCGGGGAGTCTGATGCTTCATATTTCTAAAACTGAGGGGAGTTTTCTTGGTTTTTGCAGGAGTTAGGTAAATATGGAGTGCTTTTCTACAACGCCTGCTTCATGATTATCCCAACTCTCATCATCAGCGTGTCCACTGGAGACCTTCAACAGGTGAGCGGATGACAGGCACTGCATTCCTAGCAGCCTTTAAAAATTTTAACATTTAACAGGTAGGACTCACTGAAATCGAAAGTGTGTGAAGGTAGCTAGGATTACACGGAAGCAAGCTGTTTGCTATCCCCAGTGATACCGATACCGGAAAATGAATGCGGGGCGAGAGGAGGGCCGTGTCCCAGGTCGCGGCTGAGCCCCTGGGACGCGCCCCGCCTTCAAGGGGGGGACCTGGGCTTCTCGCAGGAAAGAATCCAAGAGCGAGCCACAGTTGAGTAAAGGTAGATTTATTTAGAGAGATGCACACTCCGTAGACTACAGGCTGTTTCAGAAGGTGAGAAAGGCCACGAGGCATGGGGGTTGTCAGTTCTTATGGGCTCAGTAACTTCATATGCTAACAAGTGGGAGGGTTATTCCAACTACTTCCGCTTATTTGACCCTTTACGCTCAGCCTTGGAACTGTCACGGCACCTGTGGGAGTGCCATTGACCACGTTAATATATTACAATGAGTGTGTAATGAGCTCAAGGTCTACTGGAAGTCAGATCTCCCGCCATCTTGGACCTCAAGGTCTACTGGGGGTTGAATTTTCCTCCGTCTTGGTGTTAATTGCTGTGTCATTCTTTGAATGGCCGTGCCCTGCCCCCTTCCCTCCAGGCTCAACGTCTTTGGCACTGTCCTTTCATTGGCATTTACCTTTAGACCTGTGGGAAGTAGCAGGAAGCAGTCGAAAGAGCTCTGGGCTTGAAACTTTTCGGAAAACAGCAAAAATAAAAATCCCAGTTTGAGTCTCACTTGTCCCCTTTGCTGGTGTGGGGACTCTGGGAAAGCTAATTAACTCAGAAGAGGATTTTGGTAGTTTAAAAAAGTGGTATTTATTTATCTGTTACCTTTATTGTGGACATTTGGAAACATACACACAAAGTAGAGCGAATAATTTAATGAGCTCTCATGTACCCATCACACAGCTTCAACACTTACTGGCATTTGCCATTCTTATTTCATCTAGCCCCATCTGCCCTCACTTTTCTCCCCCCGGAACTATTTTTAAGTAAATCCCAGACATCACGGCATTTGCCATGGATCTACGTTTGAATTTTGAGATGGTCTTGTTCTTTTGGTATTTGCCCTGTTCACCCTATCTGCTGCACACCCGTCAGAGACAAATAAAATGGTAAATCAGTGGAAGGATGGGAGGCCCAGCGGGGCTGAGAGGGGATGGGGTTAGAAGGGGTGAACGTTCACCCCACTACATCCTGAACGACCACCATGAAGAGCGCTGGCTCTTGCCAAACTCTGGTTCTTCAGAAAGTTGCCAGACATACCACTACTAAGAATTTTGCCTGTGCCTTAAGGAAGATGTTTGAGCTCGAGTGAGAAACAAGGCTTGTGGGGCAAAATTGTCTCCCACAGAGCGCCCCCCTCCCCTGCCTTGCGCTGGGCACTAACTCTCTTACTGCTGGGCTGGGGGTAGGGTTCACAGGGGCCCCGTGCAGCATCCTTTGACCCCCCCCACTTGGCAATATCACTATATTTAACAGTCGGCATGGTTGTGTGGTGCACACGGGCTGAGCGTCAATCCCATTTCTAGCCGTGTAGGGATTTGAATGACTTTAGAAGGCTGTGGGCCCCTGGGGACCCCTGGGGCAGATGTCAGGGCTTCTTTTTTCTCAGAACTATACTTTCTCCCTTGTACGGTTCCTTTCCCAGAGCAAGGGAAGAGTGGAAAGGCTCAGCAGCAATGTCCCCAGGGGTAAACATCCATCTCCGTATGTTTGTATCAAAACATCACCAAGAAACACCAGTTTTGATAAAGGGCTTTGATTGTGTGAACCTGGGCCTCGCTGTTGATAAATAACTTCAGAATAACTTCAGAATTCTGAAAGGTTAAGCCAGCACCCCGCCTGTTTCCAGGAATAATGAACAGGGCAGGGTATCTAAAAACACAACGTTTAGTTTTCAGTTTAGCGTCAGCAGCTTTACGTAAAGTGAAATTACGAGCCTCAGTCTCATTTCATTATCATAAAAAATGAGTTTTTCTTTTGAAGTCACTGGAGTTGATCTGTGCTGAGATTCTGGCACTTTACAGCTTTACAGAAATGTATTTGTTTCTAGAATTAGACATCTAGAAACTCCTAGAGTCTTAGAACAGCCGATTGTAACTAAGAGCACGTTTCTCCGTAAGGAACAGCGTTACGAACGGCACAGTGGCCAGAAACTGAATTTCAGGTATCTTTTGAGTAAAACCGACTGGATGTCTTGTGTTAATAATTTATAACAGTATTTCAGTAGGAATATGTATTTGTGCATTCAAATCGTTGACTTACAAATGTAGCATGGTGCTTGCAGAAGTCGGCACCTGCCTGTAATGATGATCATGCAGTATTATTATACTTTCTCAAGTAATAATAATTGTCGAGAAATTATTCTATCTCATTGCATTTCCACAATAGCCTGAGGAGAAGGTACTGTTAATATTCCCATTTTATAGACAAGGAATCTAGGGCACTAGGTTTAATAATCTAATTTAAATAACATTCCAAGGACAGTAGTGATAGGGCCAGGAGCTGTGGCCCTGGGAACACATTCTCTGCTATAATCTCAGGTTTTTAATTTGTCTATGAAAAACATTTCTTTTCCTTCACACGTGAAAAACCATAACCTATCACTTATAGCTTAGAAAGTACAAGATTCCTGGCATTTAGTTTATTTTATTAAATCCAGGTGTTCTAGGAGGCGCATTGTGTTTGTGTTCTGGCTTTTGGTGCTGGAATATCTCAATACTTACCTCGGGTCACCTCTTCGATTTGACTCTTAAGATTTCAAACAGAAGCTCCTATAGTTACCTTAGGGCCCCAGTAATGATCATTATTCACTGGAATTCCAGATGGATCAGAGCTAAACATATAGATTGATTTAGAAATCTGTGAGAAAAATTCTAATTAGAAAAAAATAGAATAGATTTATAAGAGAAGACCTTCTCTAAAATGACAAAAATAACGAAAGTCATAAAGTGGAAAACGACTCTAAGCTGTTGTGTTACGAGAGATGCCAAAAGAGATGAGACACTGACTGTAATCAGTGATTTAAAAACTCTGTGGGCAAAATGGTCAGATTTTTCACTACCAATATTGTTCTGCGCTGTGTTCGTTGAACCAGGACGAACTTTCAGTTGGTCACTTTTAACTACGCTGAGTCCATTTCAGACTGCGAACCAAAAACAAGAAAGAAGCAAACTTAGGTAATTAGGTGTGTCATCTGCAACATAAAATTACATTTTATTTACCAAGTTTGGTTTGATTGTATAGAAAGTTGATTGAAGAGTTAAGAGTGAAATATTAACTTCTATTGTTAATGGAAGGAGTACTTTGATGAGTCACATCCCCCTGTTGACTGGAGGGGATCAGA